GGTATCTCTTCATCCACAGATGCCAGAAGGTTTGGAGAGATCCTGTGACCTCTAGGATCCTAGCAGTCAGTGACAGTCCCCTTGGGAACAAGGTGCCCCTTCCCTGCATGAATGCAGCCCCAAGGTAGGGTGCACAGTTTGGGGGCTGGAGAGTAGGCTAGGCCTGGCCAGCTGGTCCCACCCCCATGGTGGCATCAACAGGTGAATCGTAGTTGAGTTTCCATCTGGCCAGGGGCCAGGCTCACCTCGCGGAAGTCCAGTGAGCCAAGAGCCATGGAGACGGACGGTGCCCTGCGCAGCTCCTGAGTCCTGGCCGTGTGCCGTACTTTCCGTCCAGAACGCAGTGCAGGTGTCCACTGACTGGTGCTCGCTAATTAAGCTCAGGCCTCCTAGGGGTGGTGAGGCCGTCACATGCAGTGGTGCCCCTGGGCTGCACTGGCTGGGGCTTCATTCTCAGTGCTCTGGGGCGCAGCTGTGAGTCTGGCTTGCACCCAAGAAAAGGAGCGTGCTAACAGAGATGATGACACGGCCAGGCCTTGCGCTGCAAGTGGCAGCCCAATGTGGCCTCAGCGTAGGCCGCTGTTTGGACCAAGATGCTGCACTGAGCGACAGCAGTGGGACTTTGCCTGCCCTCCCCCCCTGTGGCAACCTGGTCTCCCCCACCTGAGCTGACTTGGGGGATCGGAACCCAGTTGCTGGTGTCTAGCGAGGCTGCGTAGCTGCCTACCATCTGCGCGAAATGACCAGGGACAAGGAAATCGAATCCCTGCCTTTTTAAAATCCAGAAAGAAGGGAAACTCCACCCTGGAAACGTAACCCAAGTAACATGTTTGGAAGCAGGATGTTTAATTGTCAAACTTTTCTTGAGACCCAGCTGCCGGGTAATGTTATCTCGGTGGCTCCCGAGACCAGAGGGGAGTTTATCCGGGCCCCTGATGCAGGCTTGGTAAACAGAGCTGGCTAGCTCCGGTGACCTCTGCCCCACCCCCCTTCTGACACCTGCTCTTTGTCTGCAGTTTATCTCTAAAGTTTCCAGCGCCACCAGGGCCAGCCACCAGGGCCAGCAGGGAGCCATGAGAATCCCTGGGGTCCGGGTGGGGGGGCTAGGAATGGGCTGGGCTGCAGTTTTGTGTAATCATTGCACATCTGGAGTGATAATCTAGGATTCTGCAGGCTTGGATGAGAGCAGACTAGCTTCCTGCCAAGTGGGAGACCGGGGTCTGGAGCCTGTCCTCGCGCCTCCAGGCTTGGCTCCAGGGAGCGCCCTGAGCGTTTCCTCAACCCTGGATGACGGCTGTCCAGGAGAACAGGCCGGGCAGGCAGCACAACCCAGAGCTTTGGGAGAAACCAGGAGAGTGGGGCCTCTGTGGGCCACCTCGCCCTGACTCACGCTCATGCTAGGAGCACGTATGTAGGACGTGGGGTGCAAGGCTTCGCAGGAGGGACCCTTGCGAAACTGGGAAAGAAGACCTGCTGGGGGAGCTGTGGCTGTGCCCTGAAAGCGTCAAGCGGGAAGGTCTCTGCACCCCTGTCCTCTGGCCGGTTCTCCTGAGCGTGTGCCGTTGGTGTGGGTTGAGGTCAAGGGTCAAACAAAGACAATTCCCTGTGCACTTTCAACTATTTTAAAGAGTAAAGGACAAAGGACTTCTTCACGAGGGGCACGTCTTAGTTGTATGCAGGACAGTGCTGGGCTAGGAATCAGGAGGTCTGGGTACCTGCCCAGCTTTGCCATTGGTGGAGGTGGGCACACTACAGTAACAACAGCGCATGCGTGCGTGCGTGCGTCAGTGCGCGCGCCAGACCTGGCAGCCCTGAAGGCTGGGACTGTGGTGTAGATAGGAGACCAAGGGTCCGAGAGGCAGGGCTGAGTTCTCACAGCCAGAAAGAAGGGTGCAGCCATGGTTGGCTCTGGAATTGGCTCCTCACCTGGCCATCCCCTTCCTGGCCCCATCAGTGCCCTGGACCCTAAGCTCCTCCTGTGCCAAAGAAGAGGCCTCTTCCCTCTTGTGAGGCTCGGGCTTGGCCTCCAGTAGGCCCTGCCCCAGTGCAGTGTTAAGCCCCAGTTAAGCCCTGCCTCTATGCTCTGTTCCTCCTGGAGAAATCAGGAACACTTTCTCTTGGATGGGCTGGGCCACTTGGGCCTCCTTGCTTTCGGGGCAGCGCCTGGCAAGCACCCAGGAAGGGTGATGCGGAGAGCTCTCTGCCACCCATGTCCTCTGGTCAGTTCTGCACAGCGTGTGCTGTTGCTGTGGGTGGGGCTGAGGGCTAAGCAGAGATGATTCCCTCTGTGGAGGAGCTGGAGGTCAGAGGGAGATGGGTGGGTTCCGGCCTGTGAGGGGGTGCCCTCTGGGGTGGCCTGCCGTCTGGCCCACAGGCTCCACCTCTTCCCGGTCTGGTGTCCAGGAGTTGCCTTTATTTACCCTACTGGGTTTCTCCAGGCCACTCCTGAGCAAGGGCTGTCTAGACTTTTCAGGCCACCTGGGACTTTGTTTTACATTTAAAAGATGTTGAGCCTGGGTGAGTGGCTCAATTTAAATATCCAGTTTTAAATTTTCATACAGGGAGGTAGTCCTGTGGCTGTCTGAAATTTACCTGGCACCGTGATCACATTGCAAGGCCTTTAGAGGTAGTGGCGTACTTTGCTGAATTCATGTACCTACAGTATATGAGTGACAATGGAATACCGGTCTCTGACAAAAGTAAACAAAAAGGGGGATATAAATGAAGGACCATTTTGTAGTGAAAAAAAAATATATTTATATATATACATACACACAAAATAGTTAGCATAGATGTACAGCTACTTTCTCTTAGTTCAATGAGAAGAAAGTTTTGAACTAATAGTGTTTCAACAAGATATCCTGTCTGCATCTGTACTATGAATAACTACTACAAAGACAACAATATGCAATGTATTAATTATTGTAACTGTCCCACTAATATGTTTTGAAACTGTCTCATTGCTACGTCATTCCCAATAAAATTAAAAAAAAAAAAAAAAAAAAAAGAGGAAGGGCTTGGGTGGGCTCCTGGGTGGACTAATGCTGCTGGGGCGGGAGTGGGTGTCTGTCTAATGGAGGGACGAGCCTGGCCCATGGCTGGCTCTTCTCTTGCGCCCACTTACCCTCCAACTTACACCAGGCGATGCCCCTTGCCAGGTGCTTGTGCCACACTCTCGGAAGCCCCACGCAGCCGAAGCGGCGCAGACCCTCAGTGGAGTCTAGAACAAGGGTGCGCTCAGCTAGAGCAGCCCAGCTCCTGCCCCACGCCAACACCTGGGCCGCAGGCATGTTGCTGTGCTTCTCGGAGCCTGGCCTTCCTCCTGTAGCACAGGGTGTAGCAGTGGTGGCTCCTTCATCAGGCTGAGGATGAAGTGATCTAACGCGCACAAGTAGTCACCCTGTGCTGCCACAGAGTGATGTTCAGCCACGTAAACCGCTATCAAGAGGGCTTTATGATTCATTTCATGAGATGCACATTTCCATATGGTGTAAAGCAAAACATATCCCTGTCTATTATTACAGTAGGTCAGTAGTTAGCTTTGGGCTTGTGCGGGTGGGGATGGCCTTTTACTTACTGTTCCCCATCAGGATTTCCTATCATAAATGTCCCGCCTCTGGGTGGCAAAATCCATCCTAGTTGCAGAGCAAACAACCTGCAGGGTTTGAGGCTGACTCTGAGCTTGGGAGGGAAAGAGAGAAGGCAGAGAAGGGGATAGGAGTTGGGGTGAGGGCGGCAAAACTTGGGCTCCTGTGCAGGACCTGCCCCCAGTCCCCAGGGGCTCAGCCAGTCTGCTGCCAGGGACCAAAGGCTGCTGCTCTTCATGCATGTGCCTTCCTCTCTTTGTGGCCCAGACCCAGGCTCCTGTGTCTATGGTGTCCTCACTGGTGGAGTTGCCCAGAACTCTGGCCTCAGAATCAGTAGGCAGAAGCCAGGGACCCATGGTTTTACACCCTCTGGGTAATTCTTATAGACATCCAGGCACAGGAACAGGTGCTGGGGACCAAGAGCCTGCCTCTCTCCTGCATCTCACACTGCTCCTTAACACACGCTGGACCTTGGGCTGTAGGGAGACAGTAGAATAGTCCTACGGCTGTTGGAGGGGCCCATCTCCCCAGCTATGGCCTCTCCAAGGAGGGACACAGTGGACACAGCAGGCCAGGGTGTGAGCAGCGGGCACTCTCTCTGCTCCCAGAGGCCTGCTGGGCTTGGCAGCCCTCCAGAGTGGGCTGAGCAGGAGCCCCCCAGCGCCTGCAGCAGCCTCGGAACTGAATTACACTCTGGCCCCAGAATATCATACTGCAAGGGACCTAAAGAGGAAAGTGTCCATCCTGCGGCCTGCTACCAGCCCAGAGGCCCTGCTTGCTTGCTCAGCACAGCAAAACGTTTCTGAGCATCTGCTGTGTGCCAGGCACGGAGCGCAGAGTTAGAGGCACAAGGACAAGTCGCACGTCTCTGAACTGCTTCTGCTCCCAAAGTGCTGTACAGAGGGGTTCTGAGGCTGCACTGCAGCAAGATTAACCAGGCTTGCTAAAACTGTTGGTGCCAGAACCCCACCCCACCCAAGGCTAGATCTGCTTATGCAGAATGTCACACAGTGGGGCCTGGGCACCCACAACTTTGGAAGATCCCTTGTGGCATCACGTCCACTATAAAGTTTGAGAACCTGTGAAAATGAGCTACCCAAAAACACTCAGATAACTATAATAATTCCAATTGTATGTTCTTTGTATCAAATGGATCATAAAAAGAAGGAAATTAAAACCATTAGCTTTAATCTCACCACCCCGAGGTAATCACCCTCAGCATTCGATGGAATGCTTGTGTGTGAGTGTGTGTGTGTGTGTTTAGACACACATGGCACCGATTCCGCACAAGGCCTGGGAATAGGCGAGATGAGTCCCCATCGCCATGCCGCCGCGGTGCCCAGAAGCAGCTCTTGGCCCAGCCTGTGGCCCAGCCCTGCTTCCCCGCTCACCTGTCCTTACCTTCTCCCGCAGGTCTACATCATCAACGTCACCTGGTCCGACTCCACCTCCCAGACCATCTACCGGAGGTACAGCAAGTTCTTTGATCTGCAGGTGAGTTGGCCGGACCTCAGGTGGTGGCCGGAGTCCCTTTCCTAGGAACTCTCAGCGCCAGAATCTGGGCTGATGGGGAGGGACAGCCAAGGGAGCCCTGGTGCGAGGGCTGGGCTTGGCGCTGTCTTGGGTACTGCATGTAGACAAGGAGCTCTGTTGGCTTCCCTGGATGGTGTCAACAGTCATGCTTTGTCACCCTCCTTCGCATGGGGGATAGAGAGGCAGGGGATGGCTGCGGGTGCTGCGTGCCTGAACAGGCATGTCTGTAAACATGTCTCATCTCATCTAAGATGAGACACAAGCCACCACATCACTGCAGGCAAAGAAAAGCAAACAGAGAAGACTGAAACTGAAAATAAGCAATTTCTTGAACTGCAGGCACAAGCTGGGCCTACCGCTGCGTCTGTCTAACCAAATAAGGCGCTTGCCACCCAGTTCGAACATGTGGACGGAGCCTCGCATCTCCATTTCATGTACTTCCCGCAGGGGAGTGGCAGTGGGGGTCCTGCAGTTACCACCGTATGTACCCCCTCAGTACCAAGTGACGTAGGCTTCTTTTAGTGACAGCCGGCAGTTCTACGCTCATGCTAGCTCAGGCAGACATGCAGCTGGGAACCTTGTACCACCAACCAGATAGTGAGATGGGCAGGCAGACTTGGGCTTCAGGCCCAGCTGAGAAAGGATCAGCTCTCCGCCGGCTCGCTTCTGCTTCCCTCTGGCATCATCCTCAGCTGCAGGTACCTAACCCTGTGTGGAATTGGGCTGTCCAGCTTTTGAATTTCATATCTGTGGATCTACAGCTAAGACACCGATTCTCTCCTAGTTCCAAAGTGATAAATCTCAGGGAAGACTTTAATTGGCCTGACTTTGACCTGGTGACTTCTCTGGGCCAATCAGAATGGTCAGGGATAAAAGGTCATGTAGCGAAGACACATCCACTAGGGAGCCAGTGTGTGTGTGTGTGTGTGTGTGTGAGTGTCAGAGGCACGCGCTGTACCAGAGAAGAGAGAATCACTGTGAGCTGGGCAGCAACCGTGCTACTGCGAAGGTGTCTCAATTACCTTTCAGTCATTGCCAGGACAAAGTACCCAACACCCAAAATCAAGGAAGGAAAGGTTTATTTAGCTCACAGTTTGTGTAGGTTTCAGTCCATGCCTGGCCGGCTCCCAGGCAGAGTGGCACATGGCAGAGGGCAGCAGTTCATGGCAGCAGAAAACAGCAAAACAATCAGAGCAGCAAAGCAGGAGCAGCGGCAAGGGAACAGAGAGAGAGCGGGTCTACCCATCCAGGCTATCCCCTAATCCCAGCAGCACTCACACCTGTAATCCCAGCTTTGGGTCACGAAGCCAAATTCTAGAAGCCACCCCATAACTGCATGAGGCTTTGAGGGGACAACCAGACGCAAACCATAACAGAAGGGCAAGCTTAGATATTCTAGATTCTTTCTCAAGGTGTTAGCTTATAGCACCCACGAGAGTCCAAATACTATATAAAGGACCTGTTACACTGTCTTGTTTAGGAAACAATAACAAGGAAAAAGGCTGTGCATGTTCAGTACAGATTAAGTATGTTTTCAGTTTTGATCCACTTCTGGTTGAATCTACAGTGCGTAGATTCTGGTTTAGGCCCACAAAGAAGAGACAACCACCCCTCGTCCTCACAGCCAGGGCCTCCACCTTGCCCACCAGCCTTTGGTGGCAGGGTGTCTTGGGGAGGCAGGCTTGCGGGTTGGCCCTGACACCTGATTCTGTCTCATTGTCCTTATTGTTCTGCTTCTGAGACAAGCCAAAGGAGAGCTGGTTTCCTGTACTACAAACTCTCTCCTAATCCAGCTGTATGGGCCGAATGTCCCCCTGAAGATGGGATTGAAGGCTGCTCCTTGCCCTAAGGCCTCGCCCCTCTTCTCCTCTCCGTTCCTGTCCCGTCTCAGGAGTCCTTCCTGCTTGCTCTGCTTGGACCTGCCGGTGCCTGTCAATGGGCGCAGTGTGCTGCACAGGAAATGGCAGCTCAGCTGGGGAAGGGGACCCTGAAAGAGCTCATTGATGAGCTGGCGGGGTCCGAGAGACGTGGAAACTTCCAAATCAGAACTTTTCTTCCCACTCTTCCGTTCTGTTCCCCCACCCCCTCCCAAGTTACAGAATCTCACAAGAAAGGAATGTTGCGTCCCCACATCTCCCTTGCCGTGGGAGGGCCCATTTCCCCGTGTGGGGAGGGGACACAAGCGTGGAGCAGTCCTGGTCTTGCATGGTCATGAGCGTGGTCAGACTTGTCCAAGCGGGACATCACCGCCCGATACAGTCAGCCCTCCGTGCCCGCAGAGCCAGCCAGTCGCAGATTGAAAATACTGAAGCAACTGCTTTCGCCCGTCCTAGACCTATTCAGCCTTGCTCCTTGTCACTGCTCCTCCCTCTCTCTCTATAGATAGCATGGCAGTTGTTACCGTAGCATTTAGATTGTGTTGGGCCTTATAAATAAACTAGAAAAGATTCAAGGTCTATGGGAGAACATGCATAGATAACATGCAGGTACTCTGCCATTTATATAAGGGACAGGAGCATGTGTGGATTTAGATATTTGTGTGAGTCCTGAAAACGAGTCCCCAGGGTACTGAGGACAGCTGTGGTGCCGCTAAGGAGGGGCTGGGACTGTCCCTTGGAAGGTAGCTATTGAGCCATCGAGCGTGGCATCTTTGTGAGCCCGCTTGCACCCCGTGATAACTTCTCATAGCATTTGTTCTCATGCTGCCTTAATCTGTGATGCCTCCTAAGGCAAAGGACCAACGGAATCACCAGCTCTCTGGTGAGTGCTGACACTTCCCGAGAGGCTGTGTAAGTGTGGCTTAGTCAGATGTAGCGGCGCAGGCCTGGAAACCCAGCGCTCAGGAGGCTGAGCAGGAGGATCACTGTGAGTTCAAGGTGAGCCTGGGCTACGTGGTGAGTGCAAAACCACTTGTTTGAAGTGAAAAGACAAGGAGGGAGATAGGCAGAGGTGAGGAGAGAGAGACAGAAACAGAGCCTTAATTGGACACCTTTCTTGGGACTGGACCCTGGCCGCACCTCAGAGCAGGCTCCTAACTACTCCAGACTCGGTTTCCTTGTCTTGGGTAAAGATTTGCATAGTACTCACCCAGTGGGGTTGTCACGAGGATCTGTGAGTCCACCCCCCCCCCATGCTTGTCTAGCGAGTTACCTGACTAGAGAAGACATACGAAGAAAGTGTCATGAAGGAGCTTCCTTCGGAGCGCCGCGCTCTGCCGATGAGCTGCTCTGTGCCCGGTCCTCTGCCAGGGTTCAGTGGCCTGCAGCCCACGCGTCCCCTTGTGGCAGCTCTGGGTGCTGGGGGCAGGGGTGCAGCCACAGAGTGCTCCCTTTTGGGCTGTGCCCACCCCAGGATCCCACCCCACCCCCGAAGCCTGCCAGGGGAAAGCTGCTTCTCTGGCTTCACAGACCTGTGGCTCTGGCCTCCAGGGAGAGCCTCACCACAGCTTCGGGGCTTCTGGGCCCCCTCCCGGCCCCCAGGGAGGAGCCACCTAATGGAGCCAGTTTAGACAGTGAGCCATACATGGACTGCTAAGGTACCACTTGGAAATCTGCATGAGGCATTCAGGGAGTAGTGGGGAGCCTGGACACCCCTTGGATGGCCCCGGACACACCTCTCAAGAGTTGATTATTCTGTCCTCTGCGGGGTGTCTCCATATGCTTCCTCTTATTTCTCCCCTCTTCTGATGGTGTCTCTTGCCCTGGGTGGGATGTGGCTCACCAGGAGGGGCTTTGGGACCCACCAAGCAGTCCTGACGTCCTCCAGCAGCCAGCTGGGGGCCGTGTGGCACACGCAGACCCGTTTCTCCCTCTGGGGGCCGGCGAGGAGATGCTGTGTGGCACCTGCCCTTCATGCTGCAGCCGGCAAGCACCTCGGGGGTCTTTGGCTGCCCATCTGAACAGGACCCCCATCTCAGTTACTTTTCTCTTGCTGCTGAGACAGAGTACCTGATGCTCCAAATTAAGGAAGGAAAGGTTTATTCAGCTCAGTTTGCAGAGGTTTCAGTCTATGTTATCCGGCTCCAAAGCAGGGTGGCTCATGGCAGAGGGGCAGCCGCTCAGCCTCTTTCCCTCCCCTATATTGTACACAGGTTACACTATAAGGGCAAGCGTAGCACCCACACCCCCAGTCCCAGCCCTAGAGAATGAACCAATCACAAACTCTAGATTCAGCTGCCTCTGAAGAGCTCCTCCCCCTGACTGCTTGAGGCTTTGGGGTGGGGACATCCCCACACAAACCACAACACCCCCAGGCCCAGCTTTCCCATTTTGCTTGCCTGCTGCATCCACTCCAGCATAAGGCTCATCCTACCCAGCTCCGGTGAACCAAAGAAGGGAGGCAGGATGTCCCTCGGGTCGGCACCCTCCAAGCTCTGCTGGCACATGACTGCTCTGTATGTGGAGCTCCCCTGAGCAACCTGGCACAGACTGTCCCTGTCACAGAGAGGAAGGAGGTGAAAGTCAGAGGGCTTGTGCTCGAAGGAGAGCCAGTGTCCCCTTTGAGGTGACCAAGGGCATCAGTGAACCCTCCAAGGGATGCTCAGAGCTGTGGTGGCACACTGGGAGCTCTTCATAGAACGTGGGGGATGTCGCAGACAACCGCAAGAGACTGCAGGCAGTGAGTGGGTAACTGCTCCTTCGGCGCCTGCCTGGAGCCATGCGTCTGTGTAGAGCACACTGGGCCTTGTCGCTGCTCCCCTTCCCACGCTTCCACCCGGGTCCTCACTCACTAACTGCTGCTGTGGGGCTGGCTTGGGGTTGCTGGCGAAGCGCAAGGCGGCCAGTTTGATTTCTGTAAGCAGCAGGCCCCGTTCAAGTATAAGTATGTTCCAGGTACTGCACAGGAAGTACTTATACTAAAAAATAAAGCTAGTGTTCCTTATGTGAAGTTCAGATTCCACTGTGTGTTCTCATTTGCTAGATCTCAGAGTGTCGCAGCTGGCTGGGCCAGCCTCACTTGGC